CGAGCACCCCAGCCCAGATCCACTTCCCATATGGCGCACAGCACCCAACACTGGGCAGAGAAACCCCAGTGGCTTGGCTAGTCTCACTCGGGCGGTGTGTATGTGTGTGTGTGGAGGGGTAGATCTTTGCTCCACTGTTTCCCCTCCCTCCTCACAACCCCTTTCCACACACCCAGGGGAATGATGTTGTTCCCCTCTTTCTTTCCTCGGCCCTCTCTGGGGTCCAGAGTTCACCAAAGCCAAGCAAGGTAGGGGCCCCAAATCTCGGCTGCTGTCCTTCGCCCCCTCCCCGGCCCCAGCAGAGGCCAAAAGGCTCTTAGCCTGATGGGCAGCCAACCCCTGAAGCTTGGTGGCAGCCGGCCATCTGTGAGCCCTGGCATTCCCCCCCTTCTTTGAATGGGTGGGTGGGTGAAAAGAAGGGCCCCCCACCTCCGCCTGGTCAGCTTCCCCCAGGCGCGGCAGCCGATGCCTGTCACAGACCCATGTGTCTCCCCACGGCTTGTGGCGAGCGGGATCAAACCCTCCTGGGATCCGACGCGGACAGCCTGCACAGCCCGAGAAACAGCCGCAGAAACCAGGGGGATTGTCACTGTCAGGGCCTGGGTGGCTTGTAGATTCTTCCAGGGGGAGTGTTTACACACAAGCACAGAGAGAGAGAGATCCCAAGAAGGAGCTGAGCAAGAAGAGAGCGCCCTCCAGGAGGCAAAGCACAACTTCTCCACTGAAACGGGGGGGGGGGGCGGGACCATCCAGAGAAAGGAGGGGGAGACACCCACAGAGACAAGGATGAGTAGGAGCTTTATTGCATTTTTTTTTTAATTTAGAAAAATGAAGCCACTCCTCCAGTTCTCCAGAGTTCTCAGTCAGGCAAACATGATAGAAGATCTGGGCCTGACATGATTCCAGCTGGCTCGCTGCTGGCACCCGAAGCAGGAGCGGCGGCTGGCTGGGAGGGGGCGGACAAGAGGACAGGTCCACCCCCTCTTCCCCCCCCACTCCCGACGCGACCCCTTCCGACGCCCTCCCCGCAACCTTCCTCAGGGCCGGTCGCCCCTCCGCAACCCAGGCACCCG